GTGCCTACATTGCAAGGCCCAGCTGGACTCCTCCTCTGCCACCCTTCCTGCCTCTCTTAGTAATCCTGGGGGAATGCACAGCTGCTCTTGCATGTCATCTAGAGCCATGATAGATTGGGAGCAGGGTCCATGGAGGGTGGGACCAGCCATTTCAGAACCTTCTATGTCAACACTTACCCTGTACATACTTTTATGCTATCCTGCTGCCTTTTGATGGTGTGGAACCCTCTGAGAGAATTTTTTGTTTGAATTCCAGTTGCCAAGTTGGGAACTAATTGCTCCTGTTTTCTTATCTCTATCTTACCCAGGGAAGGTGGTCTCTATGAAGTCCCCGAAGGTTCTGACCTCTCAAGGGTGATTGTGAGAACACTTTTTCAAGATCCTCTACCAACTATTCACTCATATATATATATATATATATTTTTTTTTCTTTCCATGTTATTGTATCTTTCCCTCTCAAGAGCCAATTTTGGAATTCAAAATGAAGAATTCAACTCACTGAATTTTGCTTGCTGGCTTCTTTGGTATTTTATCTTTTCTAGAACAAAAGCCTTAGCCTAAAGATCTTTTTTAATGTTGGAGATGTTGCAGGATAAAAAGGAAATGCCAAAAAGGAGGAATACATCTGGCAATATTTTAAAATATTTTACAGCTACTTAAATGATATGAACTGAAATGAATTAGGCAGTCTACTATAAAATTTTGCTCTTTGGGGATGAACTGGGAAGAAGCTAGACATATTTCTCAAGATGTTAAATTCAAATAGTCTTGAAATTTATCATAAGAGGCAGATTTTTCTTTTGCTCCTTCCTTGGCTATGAAAATATTCCTTATGACAGTTTTCCATGCCCTTTCATAACCTGGGAGGGTTTGTTGGCAAAATTCCACACAGTATGCAATACTCACTACATCTAATAGACTCAAACTGTCTCCTTGGTGAAGAATAGAAAAGCCCTGGGGCTAAAAATGTCAAGTATGGGATCCCAAAGCTCTACAAGAGAAGCTGTAGAGGGAATGTTGTTCCCTTGGCTCAAGAATAGGCTAGATAACAAATGTCTTTTTCCCAGCTTGTTAATTATATGATTCAAGGAAAACAGATATTAAAAGGAATGGGGGAAGCACAATTTTCAGAGAACAAAAGTGAAAACTTTTAATTTAAATATTTTGAAAATATTTTTATGAATTTTTAATAAATATTGGCTAATGATTAAATACCACATTAAAAAGAATCATTTAGATGCTTACATTATTGAGGATTTAAGCCCATAGATATTGGGAAAAGGTCAAAACACTCCCAGATCTCTAAGTTTATGATAGTAAACTTGCATTTCTTTCATAATATTCATAGAATGTTTACGATAAATACAGTGCAAATGGAGATGCTTTATTTCCAACATGGGCTGTCGAAGCTAAACTCATGTATGTTAAGTATTGCCATGCCAGGTGTATCATATTTTTTAAAAAGTTTTTTGATCACCATATATGACCTGAAGACAGGTGTATTATATTAATATATTCCACAGACAAATGAATCATGACTGATGTACACATATATGTATTATGTGTATATGTATGTGTATACATATGTATATGTACATGTATATGTGTATACACAATTTTTAAAAATTATAAGTTATTTTTCTCCATTAGAGATAGCTATAATCTTTCAAGCCATAATTTTACATCATAGGGTACTGGTTAAGAGCATAGTGCTGGAGTCACATTGCCTAGGTGAAAACCATTTATTAGCTGTGTGACTTCAGGCAACTTAATGAAGCTTTTTGTGTAGCAGTAACCTCATCTTCAAGATGGAAACAGTAATTGCAGCTATCCCATAGGGTGATTGTGAGGATCAAATGAGTTAAGACATGATACCATATAAGGTACAAAACGAATGTGAATTTTTATTATAATTACCAGTATGTACAAGGCCCCATGCTAGGTGTTCTGAGAGATAAGAGTAAAAACAGACACAGTTCCCACACTTACATAGTTTGCTATCCAATTGGAAACCCAAGCCACATTTCCATATAAAGTAAAATATTAATACCCAAGAAGAAAACCAATAGTTCAGTTCAGCAGTACAGACCAGTTTCTTAAATACAAAAGCTATGGGGAGTGGGTGACCTGGACCAGGGGAATATTTTTATGTAAGGTGTCAGTCTCACATTTGTTTCCCTTCACCTGATGCTTATCTCTTTGACATGATGAAAAATGTCTCCAGGCAGATTGTATAATAAACACTGCAGTGGTCCAGCTTGAATTAATCCTGTGGTGGTTTAGCCATGGCTGAGCATTAAATGACGCAGATGCTGATGCTAGATTAGGGCTCTTGACAACAGAGACGGGCCGATCTGTGAGTGCTCTAAGAAGTGGGCCAACATGTCGATGTCCACAGTTGATAGAGGAATAGTGACTGCTTCAGCTGATTTTTTTTGAATTTTCTGATATTTACAAAGAGTTCTGGACTGTGATTATCCAGCTTAAGAGGTAATTCTGTACAAGAACTAGTACAGAACAGTGCGTATCTGACTGTCAAATGAATAACACATTTAACAAGTGCTCCATAAGGTCAAGGACAGGGCTGCTTATTGTGGTTTGGTGTGATCATGGAAGGCCTTGGAAAGAAGTGATTATGAAAGAGCTCGCAACAAGAATTTGAGGTAATTTTTGCACTAATTAATCCCTTTTCACTCCAATATTAGGTCCCCCAACTTAATTTTTTAATTTGTCACTCTAGATTTTCACCTACAGACTGTCCCTGAATGGTGCTCCATAAAATATCACTTTTTGATTAAATTATGAGTTAAATAGGTTTCCATGGGTTGATCCGAGAATGTAGCCTTCATCTAAAACATTGCTTCTTGTGAGGGAAATGAAGGGTATTCTGAATTTCAATACAATCAACTTATAAACTCATTTTTTTTTAAAACTCTGCTTTGATTGGTTCTTCCATTCAACAATTATTTATTAGATGCTTTTGATGAGTCGGACACTATTGAAGGCACTAAGGATACATCAGTGAACAAAACAAAGATCCCTGCCCTCGTGAAGCTGACATTCTAGAGAGAGAAGATAGTTAAATAATAAATGTAATAAATAATTGGCATAGTGTGGTGAATGGTGATAAGTGCTATGGAATAAAGAAAACATAGAGTAGGGTAAAAGGGATGGAGTGGGTGGCAATTTTAAATAGGATGGTCATTGAGAAGTTGACATTTAAGCAAAGTGTGAAGGGAGCTGGCCAAGACTATTGACCACATCTGGGGAAAGAGCATTTAAGGCAGAAGGAAGAGCCAGTGCAAAAGCCCCGAGGCAGGAGCTTACCTAGTGAATTTAAGAACTGAAGGGTGGCTACTGTAGTTGGAGTGAGTGTGAGAGAAAGAAGCAGATAAGGTCAGAAAGGTAACTTGTGTAGTGGCAGGGAGGCGACTTGCCAGATCACATAGGACCTATGTGACCAATGTGACCACTGTGGACCTATGTGACCAATACCATATCACATGCTATTGTAGAGCTTTTGAAAAAGTTAGAAATCACTTGTATTTGGGTGGCTTAAAGTAGGTTCCACCTGTACCAAAATAATTCCTCCTTTTACCTGTCTCCTACACTTAAACTTCAATGTGCATAAAAATCACCTCGTTAAAATCAGATTCAGACTTAGTAGGTCTGGGGTAGGGCCTGAGATTCTGCATCTTTAACAGGTATTCAGGAAATACCAGGCTGCTGGTACACAATCATACTTTGAATAATGAGAGAAAAGAGATACTGAGCTTTCAGGGGCTTTTGGGCTGTTTGCAAAGGACTTTTTCTTCCCTTTGAGCCTGAAAGGACTACCTCAAAAGGTTTTTCTTTACACTTTAAAATTAGTCATGGGTTCCCTCACCACTCATGGTCCTACCACCTGGCTAGTAAGAGCATGGTCCAGGGCTGCCTCTGGGAGGGAGGCTGTCTGGCTGCTTCCATGCAGAGTAAGAAGTTTCTAGGGCTTCCACACTGCCACTATGGCGGCTCTGCTTCTGAACCTCAACCTCAACCTCTGCTCTTTGAAGGATTAATTTCATCCTCTGACCACATTCGTGTCTTACTCCAATTATAGGAGCTCTCACTCACGGTCTTCCCTCCTGGTCCTATACTTGGAGTGATAGCCCAGCTCTGTAAAGTAGGCCTGAGGCAGCTGGAGGAAGTGGGTGATGTTCCCAGGCAGAAGATGTTCTCCACTGATGCCTGTTGAACAAGCAAGGTTAACTTCCTTAAGAGCCAACACAGTAAGTTACAGCTGAGCAGGCCTGGAAGGACTAGCCATTCGGAAACATAAAGCGAAGGTTATGGAGTCAGATAGCTGTGGGTTTGCAGTGTGCTTCCACCCTTTACCGTGTAATCCGGGAATGTTCCTTGGTGCCTCTGAGCTGCAGTTTTCTCATCTGGAAAATGGGGATGAAAACAATACCTCCCTCATAAATTGTGATCATGCATACAGAGCACTTAGTAAAGTGCCTGGCACATATGATATTCATAGCGCCAGTTGCTATTATTTTAATAATTTTTACTAACATCCCACCACGTATCGAATCGCTTCAAGGCCTGGCATTAGAGCATCTGCCTTTACATTCCCTGGAATTAAGGTACCAGAGCAAGTCCCTTAGCAAAGGCGTTCAAAGATGAGACACAGAGGCTAAGAGCAGTTTCATCATCATAAATGTCACAAGAGATAACTGAAGATGTTTACTTTAGAAAACGGACGATGGGGGGCCAGGTCGTGATGGCTTGCTTCAGGTTGTCTTGTGTAAGAGTAACAGACGAGCTCACTGAGACCCTGAGGCCACAACTGAGATCAACGGGAGGAGTTTCAAGGGCAGCACAGGCCAGGCCAACGTCAGAGAAAACCCCCGCACGGCGCAAGCGACTCAGGGGATGGGATGGGGTGGGGAGTGGGGGTCGTCCGGTGCGCAGCTGCGGCGGCGGAGCCAATCACCGGGCGCCGCCCGTCCTCGCGCGACGGTACAGTCGTACAGTCGTGACGTGGACCGTTGCCATGGAGAGGCCCGCTCGGTAGGCACCGCGAGCTGGCGCCAGGAGCCGCAGGGTCGGAGCGTGGCTTTGAAGCCGCGACCGCCACCACCATGAGCGGCCGAAGCCGGGGTCGAAAGTCCTCCCGCGCCAAAAGCCGGGGCAAAGGCCGCGCCAAAACCCGAGTCCGCGTTGCTCCTGACGACACCCCCCGCGACCCGGACCCACCACAGTGCCAGAGGCTCGGGGAGGAGACCCAGGCGGCACAGGTGCAGTCTGGCGCGGGTTGGGGTGGCCTGGAAACCGCTGCGCCCGCGCCGCTCCTCCGGCCCGGGGACGAGGCTGCCTGTCGGCTCCCCCTGGACTGTGGCCTCGCTCTCCGCGCCCGAGCCGCGGGGGACCGCGGGCAGGCCGCGACTAGGCCCGGGCCGGGGAAGACCACATCTCTCTCGGAGCGCCTGGCGACAGACACTGTCTTCGTGGGAACTGTGGGGACCGTGGGAAGGCCCAAAAATGCCCCCCGCGTTGGAAATCGGCGTTGCCCTGCTGGGAAGAAGGCCCCAGAGAGCTGTAGTGCAGTGGGGAGGGGGCCTCAGGCCGTGGCCTGTGGGAGGCTGAAGAGAGGGATGGCGGGGGAGGGTACCGCCGGCCCCGCGGGAGAGGAAAATAGAGTAGAGAACGGTGCAGGGTCAGGGCTCCCTGCCACAGAAGGCAGCATGGATACTCTGGAGACCGTCCAGCTGAAGCTGGAGACCATGAATGCCCAGGCTGACAGGGCCTACCTTCGCCTCTCGCGCAAGTTTGGGCAGTTGCGATTGCACCACTTAGAGCGCAGGAACCTCCTCATCCAGAATATTCCCGGCTTCTGGGGGCAAGCTTTTCAGAACCACCCCCAGTTATCATCCTTCCTCAACAGCCAGGATAAAGAGGTACTCGCCTACTTGAACAGCCTGGAGGTGGAAGAGCTTGGCCTCGCCAGATTGGGCTACAAAATAAAGTTTTACTTTGGCCGCAACCCCTATTTCCAAAATAAGGTGCTCATTAAGGAATATGGGTGTGGCCCTTCGGGTCAGGTGGTGTCTCGTTCTACACCGATCCAGTGGCTACCTGGGCATGATCTCCAGTCCCTAAGCCAAGGAAACCCAGAAAACAACCGTAGCTTCTTTGGGTGGTTTTCAAACCACAGCTCAATTGAGTCTGACAAGATTGTGGAGATAATCAACGAGGAACTGTGGCCCAATCCCCTGCAGTACTACCTTTTGAGTGAAGGGGCCCGTGGAGAGAAAGGAAAAGAAAAGGAGGGGAGGCAAGGTCCAGCAAAGCAGCCAGTGGAGACCCCTGAGCCTGGGGTAAACCAGTCTAACTGATTCTGCACAAGTCTCTACTACCTCCTGCTGGACTGTTCGTGGCTGACAACATGTGTGTTTGGCTGTCTGCGTTCTTTTCATGTTGGCCTCTGTGCACTGTAGCCCCTTTAGGACTTCAGCTACAAGAATATGGCATTTATGATCATGTTCTTTTGCCTCCCCATGGCCTTCTTTTTTATATTAGTGTCACATGTTATGTGATCTCACACCTACTGTTTATATGTTAAACACATACTTCAGATGTGTGCTGCCTTTATCTACATTGCCTGGACCCTGTTCTTGGCTCTGGCCTTTCCCACTTGTCTTTAACATGGACACTCATGAGTCATCCTCCAGGAGGACCACTGCATCCTCAAGCTCTGCTACTTCAGGCCCAGCGAGTTGCTGGACTTCCTGTTCATGCTGGCCATGCATGTCATCTATGGCAAGCATTTCTGTTGCCACTGCAAAATGAAGCCAGTGCGAATGGCATTGGCCATCAGCCAGAACTTACTGTTTCATGGGCCTGGGGTCACCAGCCAAGATGTCACCTCCTTTATCTCTGGCTTTGTCTTGGGGTCCATGCTACCCACCCTGGTGGACATCCAGCATAATGGCACTTGACTGTTGGGCATGCATTTGACTAAGGGCAAGAAACAGTATGCCATGTGTTCGGTACCATCATGAGTCTCTTCTTGCCTCTGGGCCCTCCTACTGGTGAACTTACATCAAGGTCCACTCTATGCCAAGCCCCCTTACTGTCAGGCCATTGAGTTTTGTCTAGGTTGCTATCAGCCCCAGTTGGTTTCCTGGTCAACAAGGACCTCAAGAACTGCCAGTGGACTCAGGACCCCTGCCAGTGCACGAGACACACACCTACCCTCCCTAGCCTTCCAGGAACCCTCCTGGCTGCTAGACTGAAGGGCGGGCTGGTATGTGCGGATGTGCTCACTGTCACTATGTTGTGGCTTCAGGTGAGGGTGGGGATGTGGATCTGCAGAGAATTTAGGTACTTTTGTCAACTTCTCTTATCCCCTCTTAAGACATGACCAGAGTGCCATAGAGGGGTGCCAGGAAGAGGTATTTATGATCTGTGGGCCTCTACCTGCTTGACTTCATCCCACACTCTTCTTACTTGGCTCTCTTTCCTTCATCCCTTCTTCCCTCCTTCCCTCTCCCCTGCTACCTTCCATTTTTGTTTGTTTATTTAAATAGTACTACAACTTAGAGAAAGTAAAACAACTGAAAAATAATAGTTACCTACATACAGGTAGGGACTTGCTATGGGCACTCACATTCTAGGCTGAAAGAGATTAGAGGGAATCAGAAGGCAAGTGGATCTGTGGACAGACCCTGGTCCTTTCTCCCAGGCTCATTCTACAATTCTGAAGTTGAAAATCCTTTTCATGCCTATGCTCTGCTCAATTATAAATCCCAGGGCAGATTAGTGTTTACTCTTGTTTTGAGGGTTTGTTTTTTTTTTTTTTTTGAAATGCTCTTTTAAGACCCAAGTGCCTCTGGCTGTTTCCTCCTCTTTGGTAGCCTCTGGGCATGTGGATCCTCATTGTCCAGCTTTTCCACTCTCAGTAGTCCTTTGCTCTCTTTGCTTCTACCTTCAAATATCCATAGGGGTAGGCTTTAATCTCCAGTATGGGGGGGTCCCAAGGCTGTCCTGGGGAATGGGGATGGGCAGAATCTGTTCTGGATCTCCAGGTTATTTCTAGTGGATGTGAAAGCTGAACTGGGCCCTCTTTCTCCCTTCATCCTTAAGGGTGGGGAGAAGGACTATACACTTGTCCTCCCTCTGACTTCCCTTTCCTTATGGGAGACCTCATTCTAGGTTCCAGAAAGGGAGACCTTGATTCAAAGTTGTAGTGAGAGTGTGCTAGATAGAGGAATTGGAGCAAAAACGTAGAGCAGGCATGAGTCTGGTATGGAGTGGACCTGGAAAAGCAGACAGAAATGGTTGGAGAAGCTACAGGGAGAGCATGCCTGTCTGTCAGTGATGGAGAGGACGGGAGGGACCCTCCCCAGGGCTGGGAAGGGAGAATGGAAGGGGTTATGGGCAAATGATGCCTAGATGAGGGTATGCCCAAAGTTTTGTCCAATCTCTATCTCATAATTCCTACATTTCATAAATCACAGAAACAAAAATGGAATAATGTTACTTTGGATGCTTTCTCTTTTGTTCTAGGTATGGCCTTGTTTATGTGGAAGATTAATGCTATATGCTGCTTATTTCGCCTCTAAAATCTTACCATTTTCCCCAAATGGAAAAATAGAGCTTTACAAGTCTGCTATTATGTTTTGTGTTTTGTTTTAAACTTTTTTGCTCTTTATTATGGACATTTTCAGACATGCACAGAAGTGGAGAGGATGGTCCCTGGGCCCCATGTCCATATCACCTAGCTGCATCAATTATCAATTATGATCGATCTGGTTTCATCTGTATTTCCCTCTTCCCACCTGTATTGTTTATGGAAAGTCCAAGACCCTGTACCAATGCAACCGTAACTACTTTGGGAGATTAGTACTCTCTTTTGATGGTGATAGTGGTGGAGTGTGCTGTCATTATCACATCAAGTCTACTTTTTCCTTTTAATGTTAACTAATGAAGTTCCAGAGATGGGCCTTAGAAAAGAAAGTCTTCAGAATTAACAAGGAGTCTCCAAAAGAGACAAGGGGGATGTTCCCTTTCCCCTGCATCCACAAAAGGAGAGAGAGCCTGTTCTGTTGTAAAACTCTTTCAAAGACTCTGATATGATAAGGTACTGAATTGAGACCCTTCACCAGAATATCAGTCTTTTTTCCCCTATGTAACATGAAGACTTTGTGTGACTGTTATGATTGTTATCAGCTTATCCTATTCTCATAATATAACTGGTCTTGGAAGTATAATTTGGAAATTGTTGCTATGTTCTGTGAAAATAGCCTCCCAAAAGTAATCAGTAACTGGTTGTCATACTTGATAATTTGACACCCTGGTAATAATACAATTATTTCTGTGTTCCTGAAAAATATAAATAGTTGTAAGCTTGCATGCATGATGGAAAAATAAAAACCTGTATCTGTTACATTTCTGATTTTCAAAAACTTGGAAGGTAAGGCGGAGACTGGGCCGCTGAAGGGATATATATACACATGGGCCTAGATAGTGATTCCCAAGCGTCAAACCCTTGTGGATACACAAAAATATACAAAATTCTGATTCCCAGCCTTTCCCAGTGATTGAAATTTTGTGGTTCTGAGGGGAAGCCAGGTAGTCTTATTTTTAACAAGCTTTTCAGATGATTCTAGTGGGAATTCAGTACTTCCCAAATGTTAGAGTGCATCTGAATTATGTGGAGAATCCTGTTAAGATATGGATTCTGATTTGGTAGACTGGGGAAAAACCTGTGATTCTACATTTGTAACAAGCATCCAGATGATGGCATTGCTGGTGGTGTGTGAACTGCACTTTGAGTTGCAAAGGAGATGACCTTGAAGACCTTGCCAACTAGAGCAATGGTGCTCAGCCTGGGCTGCACATAAGAATTACCTGTGAAGCTTAAAGAAATACACTGTTGGAGCTCTACACAAACACCAACTAAATAGAATAGGGCAAGAGGCTAGTCCAGGCATAGATATTTTAAAAGCTTCCCAGGTGATTCTGATGTGTAGCAAGAGTTGAGAACTAGGTCCTCTGATGCTCTTCATTTCAGATCAATAACAAGGATCATTTCCTGTTAATCAGGAGAAGCAGTGGCAGACAACCAAATGTCACATAAAGCTGCTCAGCAGCAAATTGTTGGAAAACATTAGAGGTGGGTTGTTAATTGACAAAATAATGATAAAGGATTGAATACGTAAGTGTGCAATGTTCAGGGCATTATAGGTGCTCAAATATTGAATAAATGAATGAATTTAAAGCATTGTTTATATTCAGATGCCTTAGGGCTAGGTTGGTAATTAAATTTGTGAAGTGGGCCAAGTTTGTTTTATAAGGACATCTGTATTAGTTTGCTGAGGCTGCCATAACAAAGTACCACAAACTGAGTGGCTTAAACAACAGAAATTTATTTTCTCAGTTCTGGAAGCTAGAAATCTAAGATCAAGGTGTCCTCTTCAGGCTTGAGCCACCTCGAGGTTTTGGGGCAGTCCCCCTGGGTACAGGCTGGGAGGGGTGCCTCACCCAATACAGCGCATGCACTGGCCTCTCCACAGGTGCAGAGCCTCCATTTTCCAGGCCTCTCTTTCAAACACTTCAGTTCCTTAGAGAACCCATTAGATGTGGGATTCACCACTTCTTCATGGGATCATTCATTCATTTCCTCCTGTATGTCCTTGTTGTAGACATTGGAGGTACAGCTATGAACAAAACAACTCTGAATTTTCTGCCCCCCCCCCCCCCCCCCCAGGATTCAGCCTCTTCTCAGCTTTTGTCTGAGATTGTCATCAATCTGTTTCTTTCCCCCTTTTCTTGCATGGAGCTGGGTAGTATTTTAGATCCCTGTGGGTTGAGGAAGGGCTAAAGGAAGCCTCCCTCCCCTTGGCCTTTAGGTCAGACTTCACAATGCTCTCAGGCCTTTCTAACCTGGAGAGTGAAGGCCATCTGGGGTCAATCTAGCTATGCTAACAGTCTCTGGCCCTTTTTTCAGCTTTGAGTTTCATCACAAAAGGCCCTCTTCTGATTTTTTGACTTACTACCTGCCGGGCTTCTTTGGTAGTGTGGTGGGTTTGTGCTATGTCAGGTAGAGAGGAGAGAAAAATAAATGGTCTTTGCCACCCTTAGCTTACCCAGAATCTCTAGCAACTTCTGATTGTCTCTTTTGACACTTTGGGCTTCTTCCCTTTAGCCTATTGTGGTGACTGGCAACAGAGGAAAGAGACACACCACCCTAAGGAAGCATGTTAGAATCGCCTAGGGAGGGAACTTTGGCAAATTCGTTTGCCCCTCTGAAGATTTAGAAGAACCCTTAGACATGGTGAGCCACTGCTACTGGTGAGCGGGGCCATATCCCTCAGGTTTTGGAGCAGCAAGAAAAGTAGAGCCCAGGCTATCCAGTCCATAGTTTCTAACTCTGCCCTTGGCATCTTCAATTCTGCTTTGGAATCTTCTCCAAATGTATTTCACTGTTCAGGCTCACAACTCACTTGTGCTGGTTCACTTTCACCTGAAACTCTGGCCTTGTATTAGTTCTTCTTCTATACCCTAGGTCAGCAGCCTCCTGTCAGGTGTCCAGCTATTGACTGCCAGGGCTCTAGCCCTGAATTCCTCCTCTTCCTCTCTTACCCCTATCAACCTGGTCTTCAGCTGCAGTTTGATAAAAATAAGACAAAATAGCCACCATCTGTGTGACATTTCGTAGGTTGCAAAGCACATTCACTTACATTATCTTGATTATAACAACTATCCAATAAGAAGGCTCAAAAAGTTTAAATGACTTGACCAAAATCACAAAACCAATAAGTAGTAGAGCCAGGACTCAAACTTGGGTCTTCTAATTCTAAACTCCATCCGTCCATAGGATAAACATGCAGCCCAAGGCAGATATCTGGCACAATGAATCTATATACTCCTTTCCGCAGAACCTGTATTTAACCATCTGCACAGCACATTAACAAGTCACCGCTAATAAGTCACCGTATGAATGTGAACCTTCATTACCATCCTAAACCACAACATGCGTGCTGTTGGAGCTCAATGAGGAACAGGACTGACTTGTCCCAGAGTGGTGGGTGAGGCTTTCTCCAGTTGCACCAACAGTTAGGATTGGCTCCACACACATCATGCCTGCAGATGGAGGCTGGGTGAAGAGGTTTTTGGCCATAAGTATCAATACCTCCATATGAGTGTGGAAGAAGGAGGGTTTTGCTCCCATGACAAGAAGTCTGGTGATGGGAAGTTGCAGGCTTGCTTCAGTGGCTGGAAGACGTCAGGGCTCTGAGTCTGCATCTCTGCTGCCCTCCTCTTGGCTTCCCTCTCAGCACTCCCCTGCTCCTCATCCACTGCAGCCAGAGGCAGGAGGGGGCCTTCTCGCATGTCTCTGTTTTTATCAGGGAAGAAAATCTTTGCCAGTTGTCCCCAGTGGGTTTCAGAAGACCTGAGTCAGGTCCCTGGGGCCAGAAATGGGTCATACCCCTACACCCTACTTCAAGGAAATCTAGCATTTTTCAGCATCTCTCATGGGAGTGGGGTTCTGCCATTGAGGAATAGGGAGAGATCAAGGGCCCAGAGCTGATGGACAATTTTCAGTCACCTGTAGTCTCATCCTTTCTGAGATGATTTTGCTGACATTGAACACGGATGATACGTGGAGGCACCAGGCATCTGCTTTTCTCCCCAGGTCTCCTTGTTACCTCTTCTGACTAGAAAGCTCTACCTCATGTTTGTTGTTTTGTGTCTCATCTCCCCTATTACATGGTAAATGCTTTTCCAGCCAGGCAGTGCCTTTTTGGTTTTTGTATCTCCCACAGCACCTAGCTGAGGGTTTGCTGAACATTTGATGTAGGTGGTCAGCGAATGCTAGTTGAGTATATGCAATACATCAGTGAGCTTTCTGAAGTGTAAATTTGATCATGCCACTCACCTGTTCAAAGCCTTCAGCAGTGTGATCCAGAATCCTAAGGAGCTTAGAATAGGCTCTCCATTAATTATCTTGCCCACTCTTTTTTTTCCCCAACGTTTTTATTATGAAAAATTTTAAATATATAGAAAAGGTGAAAGAAAAGCACAATGATCACCTACATATCTACCACTTAAATTCAGTGATTGTGAACTTTTTGCCATATTTATTTTGTTTCTGTATGTGTGTATATATGTATATTTTTGCTGAACCATTTGAAAATTAGTTGCTTGATGCTTTACTCCTCAGCGCTCTCATGCATCTTATAAAAAATAAGGATACTTTCCTACATAATCACAAGATCATTATCAGACTGCAGATTATAGTCCCCAAATACCACTCAGTATCCAGTCTATATTTAGATTTCTTTATTGTTCCCAAGATTATCTTATAGTATTAATTTTCCAATCAGGATTTAATAATGTTCAGGCATTCCATTTGGTTGTTATAAATATTAAGTCTTTTAAAAATAATCCTCCTACTTTTTAAAAATTTTTTCCTCTTATGACATTGACTTTCTGAAGAAGTTAGGGCAATTATCTTGTAGTATACCCATAGGAAAGGAGTGACTAGATTTATAGTGCCAGATACCTGCCTAGGGCTGCATGTTTATCCTATGGATGGATGGAGGTTGGAATTAGAGGACCCAAGTTTGATTCCTGGCACTGCTACTTACTAGTAGTAGGTTTGTCTGATTGCTTCTTCTTGGTGTTAAATTTTTCCTCTATCTCCTGTATTTCTTGTAAACTGAAGATTCAGGTGAAACACCTTTGGCAGAACACCACCTACGTGAAGCTATGTATTTCATAATGCATCACATCAGAAGGTACACAATGCCAGGTTGTTGCACTGTTGTGCTGTTAGTCTGATCTCTTGATTAAAATGGTGATCACCAGTCTTTCCTTTGTAAAGATATGTTTTCCCTTTTCAATTAGCAGGCAATCTCTGGGGTGCCACTCTGTTACTCTGAGTATATTCTGTTCCCCAAAACTTTTCATTCCAAGGTTTTGGCAACCATTGATGATATTTGCCCAGATCATTTGTTTCACAGAGGGTTGAAAAATGGTCATTTTATAATCCTGTCACTCCTTTTATGTATTTTAGGTTGTATTCTGGTATAAAGAAGACCTTTCCCTCATCAGCTTGTGGATTTTTAGTTATTTAATATTTTGCAATCAATTACAGTTATTTGCTCAGTTGAGCTGTGTTTTGGCCCTAACTAACCTTTGCGAGACTCCTCTCATCTTTGTCCCTGTCTCCTGTTTCCACTGTGTACCATGTTCCAGCCAGTACTAGCTCCTCTGCATTTCTGAACACCCACATTTGCACAAGCTGTTCACTCAGCAAGAAAGCCCTTTCAGATACGGCTCACATATACTTGTTCTGTGCTGTTCTTTTTAATCTTTCAAGGCTGAATTAATTCCTCCCTTTTCTTTATTTCTGCAATATTTTGTCCACACTTCAATTTA